TTCTTTCTTAAACTTTTGGTACCCAAAATTGTTAATCCATTATTACAAACAATGATATTATAAAAATATTACATAATAGGAGTATAAATTTATTTACATATTCTTTGATTTTTTTGTTTAAATCATCTAATGCTTCTGACAATTTTTTGTTTTCTTTTTTTTCTTCAGATAATTAATTAAGTTTTTGCCTTGAATTATTATTATCATTATGATGGTATTTTTAATATATTTATATATACAATATTAATATTATTTTTTATCACATAATAATACATAGGTACCAATCTAATGATTGCCTTAAATTTCCAATGATTATTGATTCATTTATGGACATGGATGTGGTACCAGCAATAGAAAAATTTGCAACATTAGATGTATAGTCAGTTGCAGGAACAGTTGAAATAGGAGATGAAAACCCATTTACAATTACGGGAACAGTTGGAGTATCCACATATTAATGCATTAAAAAACCATTTAAAAAAGATTACCAGGTGTTAAATGATTGTATTAATCACACTAGCATCAATTAACTAATTGGAGTGGCTGGTGGGTGGCTCATAGGCCTAATAGATGTTCCTGTGTCATTAGGAGCACTTCTTGATGTGAAACTATTTTGTAACTTCAGCTGTAAGTATGTTACTATTATTATCATTATTTGATTCAACTGGTAGATTGTCATACCTTTGTTGTAAGGATTTCAGTATCTTTATTAAATATTTATATAATGCATTATTATAGAATAATATTATAAAATATTGTTCAGAAAATATATTTTGAATTACCTGAAGACATTTTTGCTCTAGTTCATTGGTCTTGCTTTTGTAGCTAGAATTTCATCTTTATGAATTGATAATTTATATATATGATTTAGAATAAATAATGTGACAGAAGAAAATCAATATTTGTAATATAAATACTAATTGGTTACATCAAACTCATTTTCTAACATTTGCGTATTGTTATTTTCCTCGAATAATTGTCTTTTTACTTTTTCATATTGGTTCTTGATGTTAATTTTGCCAGATCGAGGTGTATTGGTATTGTCCTCCAATTCTTTTTTTTTTTTCTTGAAGTTCATGAATTTCTCCGAGTTGTCTTTTCACTTGTGGAGAAAAATAATTAATCTTATCCTCTGCAACTCTATGATCATTATCCCTCTCTTTTTTAAAATCATCAATTTCTCTATCCTAATTATAATATTATTATTAGTTTAGGTTTAGGAGAAATATTTATTCTAATATGAACATATAAGAATTTGATAAAAGGAAATCTTTATTTATACAGATTTCTTTGGATTTATTGTTCATGTTATCTTTTTAAACAATTTTATTATTATTGTTCGCTTTCATCTTTAATTTTATTGTTGTCATTTTGGCTTTCACCTTTTTATTATTATTTGAAAATTTGGATAAAATATTCTTTAATTAATCAATTTTATTATTGTTGTTTTGGAAATGGTTTATATTAATATCACATGAATTCGTTGTAACGCGACTAATACCTACCATTAAAATCCTATCAATAAATTCGTTGTCCATTTTAACGCGGTTTAAATATGAAATTCGTTGGGAAAGAAAATATTTAATTAATTAATTAAAAAAAGAGCCCTGAAGCGAAACGAAGTTCGTTGAGAATCGTCGATCATTAGAGTATTTGGAAATTCCAAATTTGGTATATCCCTGAATGCAATAACTAAATTTTTGCGTCTGAATTATTGCTAAAATAAAATTTTTTTATAATAGCAAAATGGAATGTAGAGAAAAGTCTATTGGAAATAAGAAAAGAAAATCAAATGTTGAAGAAACAATTGATAGCAATGTAGGCAAATTATATCATTTTCAAACGAATAAGACTGATTATGTCGTTTTTGATTGATTAACTTAGATTTTTATGATTTTAATTCATTTGCTATCAACGAGAACAAATATAATAAAGTTCGGTTTACCTTTAGATTTGGTCCGTCAATGCTATTTATTTCTCCAAAGCCAATCAACGCATCTCAGAAAAAAATGAAGCTCAGTTCATCATTGCCACTTTCATCATCGTCAACAAGGACATTATGAGCATCAAGACTATCAAGTGCACCAAGGGCAGCAACAACTACAACAAATTTCATACAAAT